ATGGTAAAGTTTTACGGGTCAATAAAATACCTTAACCCGGTGAAGCGCCATCACACATGTTATACGAGTTGTCGATGAGAATAGTTTATCAGGTGTGTTGGTGCAGGTCACCCCACGTAGTTCATGAACCGCACTTCCTTCCACTTGTTCATGGTGACATCAGATATCAGAGTAAGTTTAAGTGCGTTCGGAATAACACCGTTTGCTACATATGCGATTTTATGGCAGCATGCGTGCGGCATTGTGATGGAGAGTGGGGGCCTGGTAACCAGAACGATAAGGCTTCTCTAGAAAAATCGATTCGATTCGGTGTGGAGCAATCAAAAAACATCAGATCACACGTCTAGACGCACGCAAGAGGGAAATAAATGAGAACACAGGTGTAATGCCACAACTACATTTTGGTTAACGTCACCCCCTCCTATATTGCTGGTATACACGACCACGGCGCAAACTAAATATGAATGCGGAAACGTTGATCAGAAGATATCACGTCATTCTGAAATTCACGGAGTTCACAAATCATAAGAGACGCCTCTGCACATTAATGTGTAGGGCGACTGTCGGTATGTAATTTCTGGTACCACAGTTCATGCGCGCATGTGGCGGCAGGAGTATGATGCCACAAGCAACGGACGCATAACTGCGATTATTCGATTTAGATGGAAGACAACGACATGATTAAATGCCAACATTGAATACCGGCGCAAACTGAGATACTGTTGTGAGCCGATGATCCAGTTTATCGGACGAAACGGTGGCAACATTTCCCGACTAGTTGGGCTATTGGGCATTGTAATCATGTTCCAAGGAGGCAGTAGAAGTGATAGCAGAATGATCATCATAACTGACTACAATGCCTTAGAACTGAACATAAGCATCGAACTGCATAGGTTTGCTGCCCATCCCTGGCTGGAAACATAGGAAAATAGATAAGCATCCACCAAAGGATGCACTATGCAAGGATGTGAAACTCAAGTACTGAAACGGCACCATCGCCCAGAGACGACAATAGCAAGGTCGTGTCGATACCTATCCATTCTGCTTCCATTACTGCAATATGTAAGTAAAGCGAGCAACTTCTGCAACGTGAAATTAGTGGTGTGGGTACAACAACATATCAAGTATATGAGGTAATTGCAGAAGAATAGAATGCGTTGAGATGCAGAGCACCGTTACAGGATCAAGGGTAAACACACCCAGTGCTCACCAAATGACTACTTGACAAGTGCGTTACCTCTAGTAGTCGAATCTTCGAGGAAATAATCACACGTGATGTAACGGTTTTTCGCTTCGCAAAGTCGTTAGAAAGCTATGGAAGCAGTGTGTTGGCAACTTGGCGGTCAATCATAGGGCACACAGTGTTACAGGACAAACAGTATATTGTGTTGTGGAGTAAGTAGAAATGAATTCTGTCTAAATCCATCGAAATATAGTGAAAAACGTTTTACAAATTGTCACCCGTGAATATCTTTATCGTTCTCATGTAACATTCGAAATATCTGACTCACGGTTCTGTAAGACTCACAAATGCGAGATGTCATCGCAAGGGTGCCATTGTTCTCTGAATAGAATAGTGGTAAAATATAAGTCTAACAACCTTTGAACTCCTGCACAGATGTTGCCTCCATCGCATGTTCAGGCAAACTGTTCCAAATATTTACCACTCTCCGTTCGAAGTATAGTGGGTGGGGAAATCGTTTCACATCCGGCACCAAAAGTTTATATGTATATAATGGCAAGCGTTCGCCCTATAGAAAGCCATAAATGTCTGCTTATCAACCCAGGGACGTTGCGGTTGACTCGCCACAAACTAAAGCCACTGCCCAGCATCAATCGTATAGCCCCACGTTGACGACGCTATGAAACAGTCAAAAATGCAACCCCGCATTTATAAGCACAACCTACACAATTAGTTGGCGGCATCCCTTTCCGGATTTCCGTGTCACTGTGGCCTCCATCCTGACAGCTACAGGAGGTCTGCGTCTACGGAGGGACTATGGTGGCTTGCGCAGCATCACCCACAGCTCTATCCACACACCCCATATCCAGTGTGAATCCGAACGAATAAGACCGAGAGGTATGTGTATGGGAGCCATGTTTAAAATGTTTCGGAAAACTGGTAGCTCGGGTTGATAATCCAGTTGCTCATTTGTTCGCCGAGCTGGGAAATTTGTTTGCAAACTTTTCACCGCCATACGAGGCGGCATCATCAGTGCGTCGAGATGTGGAGCCATGTTTCATCAACCGAGCCGGCCCACACCCATTCACAGACAAACACAAAGACGCTGTATTTGGGAAAACAAGCGCATACAAGGCTGTGGCTGGATTGTTGTCCGCTGAAAAACTGAGTGCATGGAACCATTCTTCGAGCCTAGCACAGCCAAAGCGACTGTGCACTCCGTCCCCTCCTGACACGACCAACTGTCTCCTGGAGCCACTAATCGAGGTGGAAGGTGTTAGACAGGTAGGCACCTTGTCAACATGCACATCAAGCGCAGCCACACTGGGAATGTCAAACAACAGCCAATCACTTGAAATGACAATATCAAGTACTAGTTATTGAATAAAGCATACGGATAAACTGACGTAACGCCTCGCTAAATGTGCATATGGAATAAATTCTTTACCAGCATATCGGCGATAAGTTCAAGAGGTCAAAGTGGATATGTAAAGCAGTTAGTTCCCTTCAACAATTTGAAAAGCACGGAAAGAAGACGAAGGTTGATAGATGCATGCATTTCGTATTGTCTCCTCAGTACCATTAACAATAACCTATATGCATAGATATGGCTAACAGTGGGTGCAACCAGACAAGCTTAAGGTGCAAGATGAATGACGGAAGTTCACACCCACGTCCAAGGCAGCTTTAGGCTGACAAATAATTGTTTCTGAACACACAAGGCTGGCTTAATCCGGCTTATAGCAACAGCCTCGGCAAACCGAAGGAAACGGGGATTAGTGTGACGTAACACAACTTTAAACGCTGAGCCCAGCTCTAATTGGTGACCCGAGTCTAATAGGTGTTTGCCTATCGAGGAAGCCGGCGGTCTGCGCGAACATGGAATCTGACGATGGTAGGCAATCTGAGCAACTTCACGTTGAAGCCATCTTGGCACATGTTCCTTTATTCGGGAAGTCAGCGTTCTATTGGTTCTGCCTATGTAACTTTTTCCGCAGTCACATACAAATTGGTATACACAGTGTGAGCTGGCCCCAATAGGCTGAGCTTCCTTCGTTGGAGGTATGGGCAAATTTCGGGTTCGGTTGATAACGACAACTTGTGCAGCATAGTAACTTCCTTGTGTAGCCGAAATATACGCTTAGTTATCTTCAGCGTGGCTAAGTCACCTTTGAAAGGTAACTCGATATACACTTTCTTTTTGGCTGCCGTGTGCACTAAGTCCTTTGGTCCTCGCGGTTGGCTGTATTTCTCGATAAATCTTCGAGGGTAGCCATTCGCCATTAGTGTTGCTGTAAGTAACACTAGCTCATGGTCCAGACAGTCGGCCGAACAAATTCGTCTGGCACGACTAACTAGAGTCTTCACAAGTGTCCGTTTGTACCGCACTGGTGTGAAGCTGGTGAAGTGCAGGTACTGACCGGACCAAGTCGATTTTCGGTAAATGGACCTCTTAATCAATCCATCCTCCTTGCGAGTTATGGGTATGTCCAGGTATGGCAGACAAATGTTTTGTTCTATTTCGCATGTAACCCGTAAGTTAGCATGAGCACCATTGAGTCGTTCTACCAAATGTGTTAGCTGCTGCTCCGATGAACAGAAAGCTAAGATATCATCGACATATCTTTTGTAGTATGGCACCTGGGCTATTTCTGTAGAAATGCTTCTTTCTACCATCAACATGAAGAAATCAGCGAGCACAGGACCTAATGGGCTACCCATTGCTACGCCGTCAATCTGACGGTATGGCGTATTCCGGAAGTGAAAATCCACATTCTCCGTGCACAATAGTAGAGATTCTCCTAGCAATTCAGTCGGAATTGGTAGCGAACAGCTACCATTCTCAGCTAATTCGCACACGTAATTAACCGTCTTATGTAGCGGCACGTTGGTAAATAAGGATTCTACATCCAAGGAACATATAACTTTGTCTGACAGGTCGAGTTCATCCAGATCATCAATGACTTGAAACGAGTCTTTAAGAATGTACGGATTGAACTGTTGTTTCAGAGGAGCTAGCAACTTCAATAACCAAAGAGCGAGTTTGTGCTGGGGCGCGTTTATCATTGAAAGGATTGGCCTGAGTGGCACTTCACTCTTATGTGTCTTTGGGGACCCATACAACTGTGGAATAGTGCTATCACACGGTTTCAAACTTTTAAATGTATCAAAGTCTATCACAAGGTGGAGGAGAAGTAATTCCAGGTGACGAATTATGCGCATTTCGATATTGGTTATGTCCTCCACTTCCGTGAGCCGTTCGAATTTACTCGCATCGTTGAGTATGGCGCACATTTTCTCATGTATTCGCTTTTATTCATGATTATCACTCCCGGCCGAATGTAGCGTATCTACCAACTTTGCGCCGGTTTTGATTGAGTTCTCAGCAGGACACTACGTCGTAGACGTTTAAATGAGATGAAATAATAAGCATTAAGACAAGATAGCAAACCCACCACTTGAAATAGAGAAATTCAGTAGGCAAGCACACGGTTAGTAAATCGAACGCAGCGTACCTACCAACGGTGTGCCGGTTCTGCCTACGTTCTCAGCAGTACCCGTCGTTTTTTTTTGATACAGGTTCTGAGTGGCGTCGCTCTTGGTTCATTAGGCTTGCCTGATTCATGCACTCGCCACAAACAAAAGAACATACAATACTCATACACTCTGTTATGACAAACGTGCTGGATTTTGGCTCACGCCTTGTTATCTTAACATGACTACGCCCGTAAAAGAGTGCCTCCCGTTGTCGAGAACAAAAAAATTTATTCATTGATTTAAAAATTGGTAGAGTACCACAACGCATACGTAATAAGAAAACAAAGTGAGGAAGCATTCAAGGGAAAGGACACGAAATCTCATGTGTTGTGCGGGCAGAAAGATTCCCGGTTGCTCGGATCAAGGAATAGGATTGACTTAAGGGATCCCACCTCGAGCATTTGATCTTAAAGACTTGAACCGCAAGACAGCGGAGTGATTCACCCATGTAGCTGGAACGTCCAATCAGCTGCTGAATACGAAGATTCTTGACAGTCAGTTGGGTTACTCGCCTTCTTAGTGTTCCGTAGCAGGCCACAGAGAAGTCGGTTGCCAGTACGGTAGTGTAAAGACCAGACATGGTCATCGCGTGCTGACGGAGTTAAAATGGATTGTCTTTGATTCTCTGTACTTACTGAGTGAACAATGCAGAAGCGCATTAACCGATAATCGACAATAAAACTTCGGTATCGCACCAAATCGTCTTTTGAATTGTGGCAGTCTACAATGTTAAACAAGGCACATTTTTTGACTGTCTAGCTCGGTGTATCGTTAGGGGGTGCTGGTTAGGTGAAACTTCAAGACGATCAATATACAGCATGACAAAGTGATATGAATAAGTTGCTTGAAAGTTCCTGGCAGGTCATTGCATACAATCTTCCCGAGCAGTGTGGCCACACCAGTAGTTAGCTGCTCTGTACTCGGGTCCACACGACTAGCGGCTGACTCTAATGATCAGCGAGCATACTTTGTCGAGCATTCCATGTTGTAATATCTGTCCACTTGTTTTAATTTCCTAAGTATTCCGCTGTGTCAACCTTTTTAGCATAACGACCACGTGCATCACCCTTCGCAGATCGGTGTGCAGTTAGTCGACATATATACGCCAAATCGTTGACTAACGATGAAGCCCTCCGTCCACATCGAAGCGACTGGTGCCAGATGATCGAAATGGGGTTTAGACTTGAGAAGAAAAGATGGCAAAATGGAATTTATCTCTGTGGTTTTTTCACGTTCGGGTAACAACATCGATTTTGCAAGTCATGTAGGTGACTGTGAATATAAAATACTATAGATAATGAAACAATACCATAAAAATAAAGCATTAGGTTGAAGCAAGAAGTATCTAGTGGAAAGGCAAACAGAGAGGAAGAAAAGAAAAGAGAAGAGAAAAAAGTGATACATCAGATTAGAAAATGGGAAGAAGCACAAAAACAGACGTCGAGAAAGACATCATTATCATGGCAAGGCACAGTGGACTTCAAAAAGCACCGAGACAGTGACAGCTGTAGAGTTGACTTCCTGGGGAATGGGTGTTCAGGTGAGTGAAATATGCTTCCCAGGCAGAATAGGTTTATGAGTGGAATTCACAAGCTAGTTTCGTTTCACAATAAAGGCTGCGATTTCGAAGGGGACGCCGGGAACATTTTCGTACAACTGATCAGAGGTAAAGGCACCGGAACAATGATCAATCGCTTTGATATGACATTCTCCGGCAGATTCAGAGCTTGTGTCACCTTCACCGTGGACAGTGAGTACGGGTTTGTCGGACAGCTGCACGATCAACCAATTCAGCAGAACATCTTCGCATGAACTAACCGTTTTCACATAATTCAACACCACATTCGAAAACAATTCAGTGTACGAATGTAGATAATGCTAAAAAGAATGAACAACGGAATAAATGAGAAAATATATTGACAGATAAACCGGTGCGTTTCAATGGAAGTGGGAAGCGCAAGGGAAAATTGTTCAGGAAACTTAAGTTGTGGTAGTTAGCACACTCGAGAACTGCTGTGTGTTGAAAAGAATGCTGATGGCCGCCTTGGAATAGGTTATATCTGTAATTTCATTGTGTAAAATCAGTAAACGTCTGCAAAGATGCGAACACACTTAGAGAGCATTCATAGATGAATACGGTGAGACGTGTATGCGTGTGTCAACGTGCAAGTAACAAAGGCAAATTAATTAATGGGGAGAATGAGAACGGATGATGGGCCATTGAACCAGACTGGTTCGCTGCATTTATATTGTCTCTCGGTGCACCTCAGAGGGACTGCGGACGGTTCATCGTTCAGCCGGCAACTACTCTAGCCATTTAGCCAATATTTAGCTGGACAGTTTTTGATGAATTGAGGTCGACGAAACCATTTTACAAGATAGCTTAACTGTCAATCCACGAATGCACCAGACGACCGTTTCACCCTCCTAGAACTCATCAGTGGCGCGCAATGTCCCGGTCGCCTTCAGGGAAACGGACTAATGACTGATAGTGACTTGCACTGCTGGCCAGCAGCTTATGCCACTGGACCATGTGGGACGACAGCCAACTACCATGGACGGTAAGCCCGATCCATCCTTCACTGCAATGCAGGCTAATACGTTTGCAGATGACAGCGATTTGTTTTGACACCCGTAGGCCAACCACTGAAGGGGGCGGGGGAATGCACGCCACTGACGAGTCCCAGTAGGACGAAAAGGCCGCCCGGTGCTTTTCCGGATTTGTATTTAAGCTACTTGGGTTGTAAGCCAGTTGCGACAAACTAAATTACTCCCTTCTACTCAACTGTAATGGTTGTGCTTTGCTCATCTTGCATTTGAACACTGGATTGGCCGAAGGGCAGTAACCAGAGGTAAACTCGTGCCAACGAACCAAGTCACAGTCAAGATTAACAAATAGGTTGGACAAAAAGGAAGACTTTGACAGCGTTTTCAAGGCCAATTAAACGGGTGAGAAAACTTGTAATGCACTCATGAGGCATATCTTTGCAATCAATTACGCCAACTAATCGGCAGGGTATAGAGACCTCGAGGACGCGAATCAAATGGTTTGGGAATAAAGAGGAAAGGGTCTACCATCCGACTAAGAATGGGACCGCGATTGCAACGCCAAATATTTAGGATACCATGATCTGATAAGCAGTACACAGAACAGAAAATCAGTGATTGATTAAAAGTTCTTCATAGAAATTGAGGTGTTTTGGGAATGCAGTCTTACGTCTGAAATAGCTTGCAATTGTTTATGACAGATTAGGCGTAATCTCGGTGCAATAGTCGTAATGTCTAACTGTGACACTTCCGCGACACTGTGAACAGAGGAAGAGAAATTTGGCAGGCTGGAGAAGTTTGTACGTCCAGTTGTTTTGTCAAGATTCCATCCAAAGAATGTAATTCATTTAAGCTGTTGAAGCAGCATACCCTGAGTTATTGAAAGTTGATGCTTACGAGGAGGATGTGAAAGGTTAGCTGGAAACAATAATGAAACTTTACGGTGACTATACTGGTATGTCAAATTCAAGCGTAAAAACGGAAATCACACATCCCAATGAGCGTATGTGCGGAAGAACCAAATTGGGTTCGGACAAGTGAACTGTTTGAAATCACTTGTCTATCGACAAAATCGTCGGTGAGAAGTGGCCGGCAGCGAGAGAGAGAGAGAGAGACAGATGCCGCTGAATCCTTCAAGAATCGGAATTGGCAGTAGTATTGAAAGCACGCACGTGTTCCACATGTGAAGCGCGCCTGATAGTGTGCAATCAACAAAGGCTGTACATGGTGGTAGGCGGGAGGAGTGCATCGCTCGGTAACAAGCTAGTCACGCAACACTTGTACCGAGTGGACCACGTGTCCGACGCGGCCGTATACGTGCAACAAATCCGGTCAAAGTGGCACTGGTTGTCCGCCCCGCGAAAGTGCTCTGCGCATATTCTCGTCTATCTGTCCCAGGTCATATCAGCGTGGAACCCATAAAGACGTGTGATTTAGTGCAATGCACAATGAGTCGTGAAAGCAGTGTTTCCTTAGCCAAGGTTGAGCAGCGGATCGATGTCGGAAGGATTGGGTGTACTCAGTCCCATCCAACTGGCAGCAGTTCACACATATGATTAGTACAATAGGGAACCAATTGCACGTACTAGGGTAAATGCGTACGGCACATGGATTCAGTGGCTCGAATTGCGAAAAAAGAGATCAGTAATGCGTACTTAAAGAAACTGCCAGCCAATAGCCTATACCTGCCCATAAGAGCAAATCGATACAAATGCGCAAGTTCTTTAACCTATTCGTACGCGAGCAAGACGAATGATCCAAAAAAGTATTGTTTGTGCTGATAACGGTGCACTGAATCTCTTACATAATGAACGAAAGATTTTGCGCGCTGATTGTCATTTATGCAAATGAGGGTAAGTGTACATATGTACATAAAATTGGAAAATAAACATTTATGCGTGTGTACACAATGTGTAGGAAAGAGATAAAACACATGATGCATTTATAACCACTTTCCATTATCATCATGATTGATGCACGCTAGCCGAGGGAAAGAAACACATCTCAACAAATGTCTCACAATACAAAAAAGAGAAGAAATGAAAATTAAAAAGTACAAAAGCTAAAAAAGTAACGTGATTCTAGAATTAAATTATACATTGGGTTTGAGATCGTTGGTGGAGGAGGAAGCTAAAGAGGAGCGGAAGGACAAAGATATTCACAATACAAATCCCACTGAGGTCACCTTCTCGCGGTCAGCTGGCGTATCCGACCGAACGTGGTCATCGTCTTTCATACCGCAGCCCGGCAGTTGGGAAACACCAACCTCTTTCCAAACACCGATTATATACGGTCTCGTCAGCGCATGAAACAGTGTCGGCGACAAGCTAACAATGTGATTTTGTGGGCATATAACACGGTGTTGGGGTTAGCTTAAGATGTAAGACTAACAATCAGTTTAACGAGGGACCGCACTGAAGTCGGGCTGAACAGCAACTAGTTCCTTTGTGTACGGAACAGCAGTGAACGAATAAATAGTAACAAAAATTATTTATAGACAACGCGTGGTGCAGTCAACTGCGGGATTGATGATGATACATCGTTACATTTCGCTGCACCAAGTGTGTTTAAATAAAACAGAAGATAAGCATTCACAACATTTTCCAAAGTAGCGCTGCAAATTAGCGTTCCGCAGCATGGTGGTCTGCGGTGTGTACAGATCGTACAATGAATAACCAAGAAAATGATCACATGGGTTCATGATGAAAGGTTAAAATTGCCTTGAATCAACGGTTAGTATACAACGTGTTAGTTGTTCATCATTTGGCAGTACCCTAGGAGTAGATAAACCCAACCGTAGATATATTGAGACTGTGTTGGCGTCAAATAAAAATGGATACAGAAACTGGAAACACTAGGAGGAATACTAGCAAGCGCAAGCGCATAGTAGCCATAATGGTGCAACCGTTGGGGGCAATGAAGCGCGTGAAACACTCGCTGGATTTGGAATCTAATTCAAGCAAGAAAGAGCAGCAGAGTAGCGGTCTATGTTCAGCTGCACAATAGTTGTTTACTAGGTCTATCGCATCCAGAAGTGTTGCATAGTTTAATCAGCACACGATTGGACCTTAACATGTTGCACTGATTTGCACAACTCCGAGACCCACTGAGCTACGCTGGATAACATTTTTCACACAGAGCAACTTACACCAAACAGGTCAATGGTTGGGGATCAGACCATACACACGCTTGACGCGCGTGCTCCCGGGTCACTCGGAATACTCCTCTTTATCTTCTCACAACGTAGTCACCGTACACTCATTCGAACCCGATTTACCAGCTCTACACAGTGATCCAGCATACATGTGGGTATCTTTTACCAATAAAGACCTAACCATCGCTAAGGGATTTGACTGTCATCCGTGATTGAACACAAACGGATAACGCATTCACCTTGTGCCCATTGCCCTTCTGTGTAACACATTTGGTGGAGAATTCTCGAGGCAGTCCGCAAAGCCTAAGCTTATTCCAATTCGGTGTTTCTCAAGGCATCTGTGAAGAAATTTGTGATCTCTCAATCTGTGTTCAGCGCTGTGTTTAGATTCATTTACTAGGTCGCAAACCAACCGGGCCTAACATCGATCGATCAATTGACCAACACTGCAACGTGTGCTTACAAGGGATCACCGCTGAGAGCGGGCGCGCCACGCTAACTCACACTTATCATTGACGCGGGAAGCTGCACTAAATGATCATCCGACAAACGCGTGAAATTAAAACTTCACGCCCTCGGCGAAAATGTCTCAGATTAAAAGTAAGTGTGAGTTGCGTGTTAAATTGGTGAAGAGTGGACTAGTTTGCAGCAGTTGCTTGAAAACCTATCTGACAAAATGAATTGGGACGGAGTCGATAAAAACGAGACGGTACAACAACACGACATGGGCGTTTTGGTTCTGCCCAGTATGCAGTGCTATCACAGTAGTTAGCTGTTTAACTGGCCTACTGAAGAAGTGTGAAAGACTAACAGAAGCAATCGAGCAACTGGTGTGCGCCAGGGTTACACCTGAGAGGAAACGGACCTGCACTTGGATGTGAAAATAACACCCCGAAATCCCCTTTCAGGCCGAAAAAGATAGCTGGACGTCCCAACATTACCCTGACAACTCAGTCTCAATCAGCACCAACTCTGTTCTCCCTCTCTCCCATAGGTAAAAACATTGTCTGCGGCGTGTCTGCATCAATTCCTGTACACTGTATTACACCTAGTAGTTTGTTCGATATACAGGAGACCCTAAGCGGCAGTCAACCAGCCATAGTGAGGAACCAGATAACATACGTGTCGGTTGCCGCCAAGCAAACACCGGAAATAGCACCGGTAACCTTGGTGGCCG